CAATTCATAAAATTAATATTTGATCTATTTTATAGATCAAATATAATATATTATCAAATTATATACTAAATATTTAAATTTAGATGAGCTTTGATCACTTTAGTAGGTTTAGATTATAGATAAATTAATTTAAGCTTTTATTCTTATATGTAATTTTTAATTTATTTGTTTTATACAAATAGTAGTAACTGTATAGTTAGCAGTTTAATGGTTAATCCTAACTGCAAATGTTGACTTTGGTCATAATATATATATATGTAACTATTTTAAATTATTAATAAAGATATAAGCAAGGCCTCATCTTAATACCAAAAAAATAGTAATAATAATAAAACTGTTATATTATTTTACTATTATGTTACTATTATATTACTCATATTAACAAACTTTCTTTTATTTTACTGTTATTCTACTATTATGTTACTATTATGCTGCTATTATTTAACAAATATAAAGTAGAATAATGGCAGTTTTTTTTGTTATTTATCTATTATTCACCTTTTATTTATTTGTTTGAACTATGTAAGATACTTATTCAGTTAAGTGAAACTTATAATTATATAATTAGAAAGACAAAAAATAGAAAAATAGAAAAAGAATCTAAAAATAAACAATATTAGTTAACAATAACAAAATATATATAAAAAAAAACAAAAAAAATTAATAAAAATACTTATCTTTTTGCATATTTGAAGTAAAGAGTAAGGATGAAAAGTTTACAAGTTCTTATCAAATAAAAAAAGTTGTTATTAAAAAAATTTATTAAATTATACTTGAAACTTTATTGTCTTAAAATTAGTATCATTATACAAGGTTTTGCTTGTTAAAATAACAGACTTACTGTTTTATCTGCTTTAATAGAATCAATATTTCATGTATTAACAAAAAACTTTTTTGTAATTTTATTATATAACTTAATAACCTTTAACCTTAATTTAACCTCTAACTCTAATTTAAATGTTAATTCTAATATAAACAAACTCTGTATATAACGACAAAATTTTGTTATTATATATTATATAAACAGCAACTTTAACCAAAATCAGTGTTAGTTATAAAAATAATTAGTAATTTTTTAAAACATATTGAATTAGAATTGAACAACTACATACAGTTGCTATTCTTAATTGTAACATTCTTCATCAGGCAAATAGTAAACCAAATTATTTTCTAAAAAAAAATTCTGTTAAACATTTGTTGTAAAAAGATGTTATGCTCTTGATACCTTGTTTTTGACTTTTGTTAGTTAGATCAGTAACATCAAAGTAACTTTCTTCTAGATAAAAGTTTTTTGACTAGTTTTAACAAAAACAATTTAACCTTGAATGGTATTCATTATCTTTAGTATAAGATTCACTTTCATAATTAAATAATTATTTCGCAGTTCTAATTAGTAATACGAATCAGAACAAAAATTGTAATCAATTAGTTGGTTGAAAATTTTTTAAAAAATCAATTGCAAATCGATTACTGCTAAATAATCAATTAATTAATTAGTTGATTAATCAATTATTCGATTGGTTGTTTAGTTGATCTAATTCGATTTCATATATTTTTTAAAAATCTAGCAAATATACATTATTGATATAATATTTTTAATGGCTAAAAATTATTATACCGGAACATGCTTTGAATGCTCAAAATGTCTTTTTCAATTTTAACTACCAATAATTCTTGTAATTGTGACAAATATATATTTTTAACAAAAAAAACCCCCAATTTCATAATTCTTTTAGTATCAAACAAATTAATTTTCTTGAATTATGAAGTAATTCTAATAATTATTAAACTAAATTTAATTCAACTTTAAGTTTTTTTTTGTGTTTCATGCAATGGCAAATTTTATTGGGTTAAAAAAGAAACAATTCATAGTACAGTTATATAAATCAAATTCTTTACTTCTATTATTACAAAGATATATCTAATATATCCGAATCTAATATATTAACACAAATTCAATTTCTACAGAAGATAAATTAAATATATCTAAATATAATAATTGCAGGATAAATTCTATTTCTACAAAAAAATAAATCTAATAATATTGAATCTATGTAAGTCTAATTTTTTACATACTTTTAAAAATGTTAATTATATATTATTTGAAATAGATGATAATGAAATTATGCCTTTTTCAAAGATAATAAAAATACTAAAGCAGAAGGAATTTTGTTTTTAAAAAAAACAAATCTATAAAGTTCGATAAATATAACTTAGAGTCTACTACATTTTTCATACGTAAAGTTTTTGCATAATATCAAAATCCAATTTAAAGTCTAAAAAAATATACATAAAAAATTAGAAATCGGAAATCACTAAGGCCACACAAATTTAATATGGAGATGGGACTATATAATATATATTCCCATCCCTCCTTTTGATTTTCATAACACGAAACTTTTAAACAGACGCGGTCGGCCGGCTTTTTTTCAAATTTCATATATAAACTTATAAATTTTTTTTTAAAAACCCACCGGTTATTAAAACATAAATTTTTTCATGAAAATCAAAAAAATTTTTTTTTGATCTGCAAAATTTTGCAAACCGCAAATAATCGATTAAATTTAGCCGGGTATAATATAACGGTGGTAATTTTCAAAAAGTCAATACCGGTTAAGGAAAATAAAATCGGATCCAACCTCTAATTGAGTAATTATAAAATAGTCGAATTTCTAATATATTAAACGATTATTTATTTAATAATGGTCTCTGTGATGATGATAATGGATTAGTTAACATTTTATATAATTAGCAGATTATAGTGAATAGAAAAAATATCAATTATTTAAATTCGGTTTTGTTATGAAAAGTCAACATAGAGTTCCAATCCGGATGAATTTATCCATATCCAAATTTATCTGGATATCCATTTACTATTAATATCCGGATAATTATCCGGATATCAACAGTAACCAGATATCCAAATATATGGATAAATGGATAAACGGATAATGGATTGGAACTCTAAGTCAACGCCTTTAATATTGTAGTTATCGTTATCACTTATTTTCTTGTTCAAAATAACATTCTTATTGTTTGGTTTTCTTTTCGTTTCTTATATTATTTCTATATTTTATTTTGTGTTTTTTTTTTTGGTTTTGCCTTGAACCTATCAGTTATCTATTCTATCGCACACTTTTTTTCATTGGTCGAGTTCGCGGGTTGTAGCTTTGATTGACTTACCTTTTAATACATGTGTTGGGATTTCCCTTTGGGTTAGATATGGGAACCGAAACCCGAAACTACAAGTTTAGTTTAGAGACATAAACCTTAAACCATATACTAAACTCTAACTTAAACTTGGGGTTTCGGTTCCCATCTCTACTTTGGCCTGATTGTGGACTTTTATTTTTTAACCCAATTTTGTTTTTTTTTCTCTTCATTATTTTCGACTCACTTTTTTTTGTTGTATATTGCACGCTGGTACGTGCTCACTATTATTTGTTTTAGATTATATTTTTTATTATCGCTCTAGTTAAATTGACCATTTGTCTTATCAGACGCGTCTTTAAATCATCATTAACCCAACTTCTCAGTAGAATACATGTTTTCTTTTGCTCTAAGTTTATAATCCAAAGTATCTTCATTGTATATCTATTATCTATTGCATATGATATTACAAATTGAAATGTATTAGTCCTTGCTTGTTCGGAATGTAAGTGTATAAGTTCGGTTTATTTATTAATTAATGATATAATAATTTTAAATTGTTATAAAAAATACATGCTAAGTCAGAGATGATTACGATTGATGTTTGCATTGCGAACTTCGAAGATCGGGCCTTTTTGTCATGAAGACAAACGTGAATGGGTATGCTAAGTAATTCATATTGACGGATTTGCGGAATTGGACCTAAATTCGGGTCTATAGACTTTAACAATGCGATTATAAAACAAACCCCAAATTTTCAGATGATCTAATCAAAATTTCTCGTCCCACAGAGTTAATCCGAATTTGATAAGCTTTTTTCCGGTAAAGTGAAATTTCCGAAATTAGAATTCCGATTTATTGTTATGTATTAGCGGTAGGAAAGAATGGTTATTCAATTACAGGTTTTGATCTTGTCGGGATTTTGATCGGCTTCTAATATGATATCCAATTTTGCATGGCTGTTAAATCCATATTGAAAAATTACCAATACTGAGGTACAAGACGTGCGTGCGTATGTACGTACATACGTAATTTTGACTATTTTGACTGTACGGACGATCGTTCGAACCCGACTGGTGTATACTTCTGGAACTACTCGATTCAAAAGAATTAGTATGGTTAAATATTATAAAGGCAAAATCGCTCATACTTACTATTTAATCTTTCACAGTTTATCTAAATTAGTCAAATTTCAGCATCAACTTTAGAATCCACAATATATATAATTGTTCATACTGAGCGCGTATTGTATGACATAACTCCTTTCCGCATTCCCATTATATCAAAGATGAGCCGGAAATTATCTTTTGAATTTGTGTAAATAAACTTGATCTTAAAGGTATAAATTTCGCAGATTTTCATACTTCATAACTAATATGCTTTCATTTACTTGGTTAATTTAAAGATGTTAATTTAATGGAAGTGTAAAAAATGTATCTTGCTGATCAAATTACGTTTAGTATATAAGATAACTATAAATTCTCGCACCCATCAAATATTTAAATAAAGATTTGTTTTTTTCTCCAAATAACTTTCTAAAGCTATCTCTAAGGTGTAATTAAGTTTGAATTAAATAAACTACCTTCAATAATAAGACTTTCTCGAATATTCAGGCAGATGACATGTTTGAAATACATTTTAAATCATAAATTTATCAATCGAATATTTATACCAATAATTTGTTTATTGGGAATTGGGTTAGCAGAAAGTTATATGCTTCAGAATGAGCCATCCATGGAACAAATTATTTTAATTGGAGTCGTCATTTTATTTTCGTACTTTGTGTATTGGGTAGGTCATACTTAGAGCTTACAGATTCCTTATTTGAATATCATTCAAAGATTCGCCGAATGACTAATAAATTTGCTTATTGGAATAAGATTGGTTTATTCGCATTAGCGATGGGACTACCAATGTTAAAAATTCAATTTTCACACGCTGTGATCTATTAAAAAAATTCCGATTCTTTATAATTATTGAATTTGTTAACATTGATAGTCCCATCACTATTCGTCATATAATTATTTATTCGAATAACAATACGAAACTCTAGTCATACTTCGTATTTTAAGATTTAACAAAAGAAATCCTCTAAATTTTTAAAATTTTTACACAAAGGCGATTATAAGTACAAAATGTTGTGGATCATCTCGTAAACGAACATCAAGATTAAGAAGAGCAGAATTAACTACTGGTGTTGATAGCGGAATGTTACAACTGCAACGCGATAGAGAACTTAATATCATTATAGACGATGCCCACTTTATACCTCAAATACCACCACCGACTTATACAAGAACGATAAATTATATGGGCTTACCTCCACCATATACTTCTGAATCAAATAATGGATCTGTGATTACAAGTGATTATTCAAGTTCAATAGAAGAGGGAACAACTCAATCGACCACATCATCAATAATACAAACATTACCACAATCTTATAGCTCAAATTTAGCTTATCAAACAGTATAGCACTTTCATCATATGAAAAAATTTTTACTATTATTTGTATATAATTAAATTCACATTTGCAAAGCATAATTTAATGGAATTAAAGCTGCAGTTAATAAATTAAGTATAGTTAATTCCCACGATATTCATTTTGACAGGACCATATGACTTGTTTTGCAATAAAATGGATCTTGTGAACTTGGGCTAAACGAAAGTCACATTTTGAATTCTGTATGTAAGATCTGTTTAAATTTTTTTTTTCTTCTATAAAGATCGTAAAGTGAGCCACAATTCCGTAACTAACAAATCAACGAGAAATAAAAGTTGACTCTTCATAGGACTAATTAATATAGACTTGTAATATCATTTAGTTATTGTTTTATATATAGCTGTATAGTAGTGTAATCCAAGCAAACAGTTTCATCATGTGCCAAATCCAAAACTACTGAAACTGAAACAAAATCCAAGCCGATTGTTTCATATGTCGAATCTAAATTTTGGATCTTGCCAAAACAATACCAATATAGCAATAATGATATTTATCGAATTAGCCAAAGTACTGGTCAGATGATGAATAATTTCCTCCAATCAGATGATGCTACTATCGATATTAGCGATTTAACATTACCGATCATCGATTTGATGGATTAAAAACGACGAAAGGAAACATAATTTGTAATGAACTCTTACGATTGATTTATTTCAACTTTCTTAAAAGCTTCATATTTAATAATTTAATAGTTCATTTTTTATTTTATAAGTGTTTTTACTTTAGTTATAAAAAGTTTTGGCAACAAGATAATATTCACATTTCGACTCATACACGTAGAACTTAATATAATTTCAAACTTTAAAAGTATAAAAAACTTCTAGTCACTTTTACTTTATATAATTTTATTATTATGTTTTATTTACTCCTCATTTTTATTTATCACATTCATGTTCTCATTTTACTGTTTTTGACTTTTTAGGATACATTAAGTACATAAGGTATGGGTTTTCATTATTTTTCAGTTCCCAAGTTGCTCACCTTGTTTCTGCTATTCTGAAACTTGAATGTCTTCTTCCATTTGTACCAGATGGTTTTATTTCATCATGGCTCTAACATGTAACCAATTATTAGTAGATTTTCTGAATGAATTCACTCAAACACTTGTGTAAATGATTTTTAATTCAATTCAACATAAAGACAAGCTTCTTCATTGGTGTCTTCATCTGAATTAATATTATAACTTTCTGTAAAATTGTTAACAAAAGTTTCAAGATTATATGTTTCAGCAATTTGGATAATGATTTGAATATCTGGTAATTCAAATCCATCTCCAAGCAAATGTCATCTTTTTTTATCAAATGTATTTACATTTAGTCTTACTAAATATTTATACAACAGGAAATGATTTTTAAAAAACACAGACCCATTAGGTAATTGGATAAAATATGGATCATCTAAACCTGTTGTTATATTAATACTTTTTTTTTTTTTTATCAGGCTATTAATATACATTTTTGCTTGTTTTTTATTACTTGTATTAGCATAAATCTATTTTTTTTTAAAATTCTTTTATTAATTTTTTTTTTTTAATATTAATGGTGAGGTCATGCCTCTATCTTTATTGAATATTTAATTGAAATTTTACATAAAGTACAATTCTACTTTTAAAATATAGAAAGAATAGAAGCTCAGACTAATTTATCTGTGATCTAAATCAATTGGAGTGGTCAAGACTTATCTAGATTTGAGTGTTAGTAATTATGTATAGAGAATTAGTTTAATATTTAATTTATTAGATATATCAGGAGTTTATTTTTGAACTAATAGAATTGAGTGAAAGAGAATGTGATAAAAGTGAGACAATATTTGAAAGTATATTATATTTAGGAATTTGAATTGTAGATCTTGAAATACAATATGAAATCCAGATTTTATAATAGATTTGTTGGTTAAGATGAAATAAAAACTTGATAACAAGTATTGTAGTTACTTTTTGAATAACAGACTTGTAATAATATCAATAAGTTTATTTGGTATTAGATTTGTTAGAGTTGAGAAGATTAAGAGTAAATCTGATATACCATAAATAGTCATATTACTTAACAGCTTGATTTGATTATATAAATTAATTATAATATTTGAAGTAGTATTGAGTATTTTAGTGTTTAAGGTATATTGTAATAAAATGTTTATAAGGCTATATAACAGTTGATTAGATGGACAGGTTGTTCAGTGAAGATAAAAACTAATTTGATGACATTGGTGTTAGATAAGTAAGTATAAGTAATATTATTTGTATAAAATATATAAAATAGAAGATCATTTAGTAGAATTTTGATTCTAAAGAATTTGAGAATAAAGGATTAAAAGCTATATAAAAAGTTTGAGATTTTTTGATTGTTGTTGATGTATAGTCAGATAGCTTACCAATTGACTTGGTTAAAAATTTTGTTCTATTTTTGAAAATAGTTTTGTATAATCCATAATGCATAAATATATACATGACATATTGTATAGATACTACAATGAATAGATAATTTTAAAGAGAAGTTTTCAAAATTTAAAGTATATATAAGATTGTAAATGTTATAGAATATAAAGATAAGATATGACAATTGTAATGGTTATATATAAGTTGATCTGCAAAATTGTTGTACTGATTGTCCTGATGAGCAGTAACTTTGTGAAAAATAATATAAATATTGTATGATTTGATAAAGTTGATAAGTGTATTTCATAGTGAAAAATATAATGTATATATATAGAATAAAGTATGAGTTAAGTTTGAAAAACTGTGATATATAGAAATTACAAACTGTGATCAGTATATATATATATAGTACAGTTTCTAGAAATAGTAATAAGAGCTAATAAGATAGCAGTAAGCTTAGCTTTAAATAAGCAAGACCTGTAGCTTATTTGAACTTAAAAAATATGCAGTATATTGTTGTTAAAAATTTGGGCACATCCAATGCCCATAGAGCATTATAAGGTACCCAGGTTGATAACAGAATCATCTGTATAAAAATGAAGTTCTGATAATTGTGCATTGTAGTTAGTGATTTGTTAAAGATTGTCTGTTAAAGTACTAGATTCAAATATGGTTGAAATTAAGTATGTTATAATGTTGATATTAGAGAAATTAGGAATTTGAATAGAATATTGAATTGCAATAAAGTACATAAGATCAAGGTGATTGGCATTGAAATTGAGAGTTTTGTTATATGTATTAACTTGACCAAAAAAATCTAGAAGAAAGATTGATAACAATATTGATTGTATATTTGTTGACAATTATGTAAGAATTGAGAAAACAGCCTAAGCATATTTGTGATTGAATAGGTGAAAGTGAATATATATGAGTAAATTGTTGTTCTATATGGCATTGCCAATAAGTAATAAAAATAGTTTTTGAAAAAGAAGACTATCTTCTGGCTTTGCCAGTAATGATTTAATTATCAAGTACTGTAATAAGTCATGATTTTTTTCATAAAGAAAAGTATTTAGTTAAATAACTATAATAGTTTGTATTGGGTAAGTATAAATAATAATAAAGAGTGCAGTTGTATAAATGGCTTGTAGTTTGGTCTTCTAAATAGTTAAACCAAAGTGGTTATTTGCCTTTAGAAATTTTGTTTATGCATATAAATATGTGTTTCTAATTTAAAAGACATAAGTTATTAAATGTAGTTAGTTGATCTAAATAAAGAATATAATAGTATCTAAGTTGTTTTTTGAAAGTTGAGTATTTTGGATATAATGTGAGTAGTAATTCAAGTAAAATAGATTCTTCTTAAATATTATATAGAATATTGTATAATAGGTTAAATGCAAATGTAATACCAAGATGTTTAAAAAGTTAAATGATTTTAAAGTTGATAATATGTTTGTTAAACCTATCGATGATAGGATTATTATATATCTAAATACTAGTAAATGATCACAGGTTGTTTTGAAGTTGCTGAAACCTAATATGAGTACTTATTCCTAATAGATTAGAAGAATTAAGTCTCTTGGTAAAGTTTGTAATATGATGTTGTAGTTGAATATATCATATATTACAGATATTATATAGCTGAAAGTGAGGTAATATGTTAGTAAAAATTGTGTGACTAAGTTTGGCTTTGCTTTTAACAAGTCCTATATGACTTGTAAGAATTTTGTTACATGTATATTGATTAAGGACAATATTATAAAAATAGTATTCAATTATGAGAATAATGACAGTATTGATAATATAATGTGCATGTGTATCAGTAATTTGTTTGATACTAGTAATTTTAACAAGGTGTGATAATTTTGCAATAATAAGCTTGGTTTGTTTAGCTTGTTTGTTATTAAGTGTAAACCAGATCCAAGAAATTTAAATAGTTTATTTGGTAGATAAAGGTTAAGAGAATGGTTGTTGTATATAATAGAAGTATAATTAATTTGTTTGTTATTAGTTGTAAGTATAGATTTAGAGGAGTTGATTTGTATATTAGCTATAATAAAGAATGATTTGGCTGTAGAAAGAATTTGTAATAGTTCTTGTTATAAAGATGTAATTCAAAAAGTGTCATTTATATAGGCAGGAACTGAGCAATATAAGCTAAGCTTATTATATGTTTGATGTTTTAGGTTAGTTGGTTAAGAAACTTGTGTAATATAATCTTTGAAGTTATTGTAAATATATGAGATAAGTGGGTCATAGTAGATTCTTCATAGAAGAGGAGTAATGGTTTTACTCTAATCAATGCTATTATGTACAGAATATAATGGAATAAGTCCAAGATTTGTAATAACTTGATTTTGTCAGTTATAAAGAATGTTAGTAATAGTATTTATTATAGAATAAGAAAGAGCAAGATGTTGTAAAGATTTTTGAAGAAGAGAAAGATTGACTGAGTCATATGCTTTACTCATATTTTAAGATAAAGCCAAATTGATTGTTGTTGCATAATGCATCTTCAGTAAGGTTATTAAATATGTGAATTGGTATAGATGTGCTGTTGTTAGATAAAGCTATATAATTATATGGTAA